AGGACTCTACACCTTGATGTCCGTGGGACTCCAGAGGCACCAGCAGCTTCAAGTATCTGTTTGCTGCTATGTAATGGTATTTTAGCAGCTGCTCTCTTGATCCGATGCATGGATCTGGCAGAAGTCTTCCTCAATGTGCCTTTATCTGCACAAACCCGTCTGTGCTCTGAATCAGCCACAAATCTCTTAATAGTGTGATGATCATGCTTTTGTGAAATATCTAATGTTTTCATACCTCGTCCAAGGCATTGAACTATTTCACTCTTTTCGGCAGCAGAGAGATCCTTTTTCTTCCCCATATTGCTTGAAAATGGTGCTCTGCTTAATAATGTGGAACACCGTCCTTTAGTAGTTTTTCCTTAAATTGTGCTCACCTGCCAATCTAATTATCACAGGTGTCCGAGATTGTTTTCAGTGATCAAAAGAGTCCTGACACACAATGCCATCCATGAGGTAAACTGAAAAAACAAAATATTTCATCTTTGTGACACTTAAATAGAATTTGCATAATAATTTGGAACGCGGTGTATACAGAAATATAAATTATAAAACATGCATGTGCTACTATGCCATGCAGTCTATAACTGTCAGGGAACAAGAAGATCGCCGCAGCGCATGAATCTGTGCATGCGCTGGATCTTGACAAGGCATACAGGCAGACGGGCACTAGGACCCAGGCGCGCCTGTCACCAATGACAGACCGGGCAGGCACTAGGACCCAGGCGTGCCTGTTGGTGCTGGGCGGGCTATTTTAAGAGCACCTCCGTGCTCATTCAGTGCTGACTGGTCTTCAGCTTCAGCTTCCCCCAGTGTCCTGCTTGTTTTCTGTGGTGCTGACCCGGCTTGTTCCTGACTTGACTGATTACTCTCCTGCTCCTGGTTTCTGACTTCGGCTCTGCTCCTGACCTTGGCTTCTCCTACTGATTCTGTACCCCGCTGCCTGACTGTTGATGACCTTGGCTTCCTTTGACCCTGCTCCTGTTCTGTGTCCTGGCTACCTACTTGCTCTGCTGCACATCAGGCATTACCCAGAACCTGCTTTGTCTACTACTACAACATTCTAATCAGAGGATACACTGCCTTTCCAGGTCATCATCTGCAAGAGCCGCAAGCAACAACACTGGCGCTCTTGTCACCCTGGTCCCTAGACTCCCTCTGTTCCAACCTCAGCGGGGTCAGGGCTAGTGACACAAGTGAGGCCGACCTTGTCAATTCAGTCTCCTATCAGGTACGTGACAGTAACATTCTAAAAAGGAAAAATCTAGTTCTAAAATGTATGAAATGCATCCTCCACCGCACAGAGTAGTGTCAGGTGGAAACATGCTCACACTAAATAAGGTGTTCCCAGTGCAAGTGTAAATAACTAAGTGCTACACAATAGTGCAAGTGTAAATGTGAATAACTAAGCACTACGTGATAGTGGATGGTAAAATGTGGTACCCCCTAATCTATCTAGCGTAAGGTCCTCTGTAGGCTTCATTAGCCAAAACCACCACCCTCTACCACAGAAAAAAAAATATATTAACCCTTTATCCAGGGGAGAGTATCTAAACCCTAAAATCAATGGCTATACCATCTCAAGAACAAAGTAGAGTATCCTCAAACAAGGCAGGAATTACCCCTCTGTTCAAAGGGGGATATCTACACTGTATAATAAACAACTATAACTTCTCATAATGAGAACTAAATAAGAATAATCGGCAGGCCCCACATATATGCTAGAATTAAAATAATGGAAATGGAATGAAAAGGGTGGATTCTAAAGCGGGAATGGCTGTGCTCCAAATCAAAATTTCTAATTATACTCTGATCAGGCATCTGTGATGAAACAGTTAAGGTCTTATTCCACGTTAAGGCCCCTTAGGTTTCATGGGGTCTAATTCGAAAATCCAAAATGTTTCGTTCTGAGAAGTCTCTCTAGTTCTATTACTACCCCTCCAGTGTTAATCTACTCTGCCAATCCCACAGAATGTCAATAATGATGGATCGCATTTATGGAAATCTCTAAAGTGCCTGGACAAACTATGACAAACTTTCTTTCCTTTCTTAATATTCGAGACGTGTTGTCAGGGCTCCGGGTATGACCAGAGGTATGTGAACTGACGCAGGGAAACGCAGGCTTCAGATATGTTATAAACAATATAATTTATTAATACTAACAATACAAAACGCAGAGCAATACTAAAACATAAACACAGTGCAAACGAACCAAACCAAACCACCCACAGATAACAATACATACAATGCAAGCGTAGTCAGGCAGGCCGGATCAATAACAATCGGGCAGGTAGGAACAGGAGGAGCAGGCAGAGAGTAGTCAGGTCACGAGCCAGGTACAGCAACTAACGGGCAGGTAGGTACAAGGGGACAGGCAGAGAATGGTCGGGGTCACAATCCAGGGATCAAACAGGAGAAGTCAGCAGAGGTCAGGATCAGGCAGGGTCGGCAACGAGTCAGTCAGGCAGGAACAAGAACAGAAACAGGAATGCAGGTAACAAGATACAGGGGCCCATGGAAAAACACACACCAAGGCCCAGACTGCAGGTGTTTGGCTGACTGCAGGGTTGAGTCTCTGATTGCTGAGAGCACCCGCTGGCCAGCCCTGGTACTGCAGCCCACAAGGCAGGTGAGTCCCACCATTATTGGCATGTCCATTCCTGACACGTGTTCTCTTAGTCTCTTAAACAGTGATCTAATTGTCCGCCCCACATATTGGAATTTGCATGGACATTCCAACAGATACCTGACATAAGGAGTAGTGCATGTAATAAATTGGTCAATATTATATTCCTTACTAGTCACATGTGACTTAAAACTTTTTATTTTCTTTGTTCTTTTCCCTGTTGTTTTGCACATATTGCATTTCCTACATGGAAAAAACCTTTCAAATTGAACATTCTATTCTTGTTGTTCTTCGGAGGGGAAATAATACTTTTTACCAGTCTATTGCGTTAATTCGGTTCCTTGCTATAAATAAAAGGTGGTTTGTTCGGGAGTAACGGGCCTAAGGTCCTGTCTCTTTTCACTATAGGCCAGTGTTTATTTATAATCATGTCCATCACTTTGTACCGACAGCTAAAATTGAAGACAAACTCAAAATCAAATTTTCTTTCTGCTTTCGATCTCTTTTTATTACTAATTATCTTTTCCCCATCTCCTATATACTCCTTGCTAATGTCAAACCTCAGTTTTTCTAATCTAGGCCAGTCATTGCCCTTCTGAATAAATCTTTGATCACCTCTGATTGCTCAATATAATCGATAAGTCTTGAGCAATTTCTCTGGATGCAGCAAAATTGTCCTTTGTGCACTCTCTGAATCCACTATGGGTGCTGGTAACTAGAGGTAGGAATGTACCCATTCCGATCAGTAGCCTTAAAATGTGTTTTAGTATACAATTTACCCTTCTCATAAAAAAAGCACAGATCCAAGAAGTGCTATAGTTTGAGAGAATCCTAATCCATATGGGTTATTTTCTATATGTCTCAGAAATACCTGTAACGACTCCATGTCACCTTCCCAGATAACTAGGTTATCATCAGTTTATCTTTTCCATGTTTTAAACCCTTTCCATTCCTTATCAAAAATGTCAGCATGCTCTCACCTTGCCATGAAAATATTGCCAAACTGGGAGCAAATTTTGCACCCTTTGCTACACCTTTTCTTTGGATGTAAAAATCTCCCCCCTACCAGAAATAGTTGTTGTACATGCCAAACTCCTGTCCATCTTTCAGGTAAGCCGGCATTTACGTCACTATCTGTTAGGGATCCGGGTATGACCAGAAATGTGTGGACTGACACAGGGAAGTAGCAGGCTTCAGGAACACAGGCGTAGTCAGGCTGGAGAGGTGGAATGGTCAGGCAGGCCGTAAAGTACTGTCAGGTGCCGCCTGGCAGTGTCTCTAGCAGCCCACAACACAGATTTCCTCAGGGCGTGGGGTCTAAGTCCCAGCCTGCTATTCACCAGGGCCCCTGATGGTGGGGATGGAATTGGTGCAGACTGGAACCAGGTCGCGACCCCTGAGTGCGTCCGGCTGTGGTAGAGAGTACTGGCAGGGGAGTGCAGGAACGGAGTCTGGTGGGAAGAGGCAGGCAGACTAAAGGTGATCCATGCGGGATGGATGGATCGTCAGGTGAAGTAAGCGTAGTCAGACAGGCCGGGTCGGTATCGTGCGGGCAGCGTGGTACAGGAGGAGCAAGCAGAGAATGGTCGGGGTCACAAGCCAGGTTCAGCAGGTAGCGGGCAGCGCGGTACCGAGGATCAGGCAGAAGGATGGTCAGGCAAGCCAGGGGTTCAACAGGAGACGGTCAGCAGAGGTCAGGATCAAAGCAGGGTCAGCAACGAGGCAGGAACACAGGATACCAGGTACAGGGGCTCATGGGAAACATACACCAAGGCCCTGATCACAGGCCTGGTCATTCCTTAAATACACTTCCTGCAATCAGCTTCAGGTGTTGGCCGACTACAGGAGTGAGCTTCTGGCTGCTGAGAGCACCCGCTGGTCAGCCCTGGTACTGCAGCCCACACGGCAGGTGAGTCCCACCACCAGTGCTGAGTCCATTCCTGACAGTACCCCCCCTCAAGGAACTGCCTCAGGACGCTCCAAACAGTCCTTAGTGGGCAAAATGTTCCACCGCCCGGGTCAGGTAACTGGCTGGATATCTTACTGCCGGAGTCAACTGGCTGGCTGGGTTTCCTGCTGGCAGACTTCTCTTTATGTAGGGGAACCCAGGAAGGCAGGTCGCTGGACACAGGATTTCCAGGAGCAGGCTGGGAATCGGTTATTGGCCAGTTTAGCTGGACATCGGGCTGGCACATCAGGCTGGGCCGCGGGCAGAGGCACGTCCGGCTGGGCAGCGGGCAGAGGCACGTCCGGCTGGGCAGCGGGCGGAGGCACGTCCGGCTGGGCAGCGGGCAGAGGCACGTCCGGCTGGGCAGCGGGCAGAGGCACGTCCGGCTGGGCAGCGGGCAGAGGCACGTCCGGCTGGGCAGCGAGTCATCTGGCACGACAGCGGGCACCGAGTCATCTGGCACGACAGCGGGCACCGAGTCATCTGGCACGACAGCGGGCACCGAGTCATCTGGCAGGACAGCGGGCACCGAGTCATCTGGCAGGACAGCGGGCACCGAGTCATCTGGCATGACAGCGGGCACCGAGTCACCATGCTCGACAGCGGGCACCGAGTCACCATGCTCGACAGCGGGCACCGAGTCACCAGGCAGAACAGCGGGCACCGAGTCAACTGGCAGAACAGCGGGCACCGGGTCACCAAGCTCGACAGCGGGCACCGAGTCATCTGGCACGACAGCGGGCACCGAGTCATCGGGCGCCAAGTCAACGGGCACGGAGTCATCGAGCACGTCCGCGGGCACCGAGTCACCGGGCAAGTCAGCGGGCACCGAGTCATCTGGCACGACCGCGAGCACCGAGTCATCTAGCAGAACCGCGGGCACCGGGTCACCAAGCTCGACAGCGAGCACCGAGTCATCTGGCTGGATCGGGTCATCAGGCCGGATCGGGTCATTGGGCATCAGGGCATCAGGCTGGACAATGGAAGGCGGGTCCTCAGACAGCAGGCTGACCGGTTTGGATACTGGTAGGATGGTACTGGTTGGAAAGAATTTTCGCTTCTTCTTGGGTTTAGTTACTGGAGCACTGTAAGTGAATGCAGGTCTGTAAACGGATGGAGCAGCTGAAGACAGGGAAGAGCCGGAGGATGGAACAAAGGAGGGAGCAGTTGCTACAGAGGGCTTCTTTACAGGGTAAAAGGTAGGATAGGTGGAGCGAGTGGGAGCAGGGGACTGACATGGGTAGCTAGCAGGGTATACTGGGCTGTCACTGGGGGTGCTGTGGGAACTGGAGGAAGAGAGCTTTGAGCAGAGTAATGGTTAGAAGCAGGACTAAGTTGTTGCAAGCTGACTGAGGCTGTATGTAACAAATCCGACCATGTCTGCAGTACTGGCTGAACAAAGCTCAGCTTACACAAAGCCCGTCTGGTCAAAGACTGCACTGCGTTTATACAATCCCTAAGCACCTGTTGTGAACATGCAGAATAATGCTCCAAGAAGCAATCCACATCATCCTCTAATAACTATACCAGGGACTCTACCTGGTCTGCACTAAATGGCGGCAAAAAGTCATCCCTTCCCTCAGGGGCACCAGACAAAGTCAACTCTGCACAAACCTGAATCAATGGCTGCACCTCGGAGAACTCTGTGCCCTGATCCACTAGAAAATGAGCAACCCGTATGCACTCTAGCAGCTGATCCCTGGTATACTCCTGCAGAGTCTCATAGGCATAATCTCTGTCATCAAAGACTAGCAGACACAAATATACAACATCCTCAGGATGCATCCTTCACAACAATTAGCCAAGATGGCTTCCCTGTGCAGCTACTTCTGGTCAGGACTGGCCTTGGTGTTCTGTTAGGGATCCGGGTATGACCAGAAATGTGTGGACTGACACAGGGAAGTAGCAGGCTTCAGGAACACAGGCGTAGTCAGGCTGGAGAGGTGGAATGGTCAGGCAGGCCGTAAGGTACTGTCAGGTGCCACCTGGCAGTGTCTCTAGCAGCCCACAGCACGGATTTCCTCAGGGCGCGGGGTCTAAGTCCCAGCCTGCTATTCACCAGGGCCCCTGATGGTGGGGATGGACTTGGTGCAGACTGGAACCAGGTCGCGACCCCTGAGTGCATCCGGCTGTGGTAGAGAGTACGGGCAGGGGAGTGCAGGAACAGAGTCTGATGGGAAGAGGCAGGCAGACTTACTAAAGGTGATCCGTGCGGGATGGATGGATCATCAGGTGAAGTAAGCGTAGCCAGACAGGCCGGGTCGGTATCGTGCGGGCAGTGTGGTACAGGAGGAGCAAGCAGAGAATGGTCGGGGTCGCAAGCCAGGTTCAGCAGTTAGCGGGCAGCGCGGAACCGAGGATCAGGCAGAAGGATGGTCAGGCAAGCCAGGGGTTCAACAGGAGACGGTCAGTAGAGGTCAGGATCAAAGCAGGGTCAGCAACAAGGAAGGAACACAGGATACCAGGTACAGGGGCTCATGGGAAACATACACCAAGGCCCTGATCACAGGCTTGGTCATTCCTTAAATACACTTCCTGCAAACAGCTTCAGGTGTTGGCTGACTACAGGAGTGAGCTTCTGGCATGGCAGGTGAGTCCCACCATCAGTGCTGAGTCCATTCCTGACACTATCGATTGCAAAAATATATCTGTATTCTCCAATCCTGGAGTGCAGAGAACCTATACCACTAACAATGGGTCTACCAGGAGGCCGACTCAAGCTTTAATAAATCTTCGGCAAATAGTAGAATACTGGGACCTTACAGTTAGAAGGGATCAGATATTTTACTTTTTCATTAATTTTCAGATCTTTGGCTTCCATAATTATATTGCCAAGTTGTTTTTTAAATTTCTTGGTGGGATTACCTTTAATTTAAACATATGTGTTTTTATCACTCAAAATTCTGTTCATCTCCATCTCATAATCCCCTCTATCTAAAAGGACCACCCCTCCCCCTTTATCAGCCGGGCAAATTATAATATTGCTCTTATCTGCCAGTTGCGCCAAACCAGATCTCTGTTTCTTAATAATGAGCTCCCTCAAATCACCACAAACCATCTGCTTATCCATATGCACACCATGATGGTAATGGAATACATCCTCAAATGATGATTGCTGACTTCTAGTTCTTCACTTAGCCCACAGGGAGACATACTGTTTAATGTGAAAACTCAGTGTATCTCCCCTTAGCAGAGTTTTGAATACCCCTCTGCCTCTGACATATGTGTGAGCATAGGTTCAATACCAAATAATATCAGACCTCATGGGTCTTTATTGTGATGTGTGACAAAGTGACATGAAACACTGGGGGAGATTTACTAAAACTATTTCTCTCAGAATCTGGTGTACCTGTGCATGGGAGCCAGCCAGCTTCTAACCTCAGCTTGTTCATTTAATATTTGGCAATAAACCCTGGAAGCTGATTGGTTTCTATGCGGAGGTGCACCTGATTTTGTTCTCTCCAGCTTTAGTAAATAATCCCCACTGTGTTTATTGCTGTTCTGCTCTATAAATCTGTGATACTCCCTAAATCTGGTATGTATCATATGAATAGAGCAACCCACACAATATAAACTGCATGGACACCTGAATCTGTTTACCATAAAATCTGTAGTACAGTTAATAATTCCTACGATCCTAAATACCTGTCCATCCTGATTTGTGAAGCTTTTCTGCTTATGCTGAACAAACTTGCAGGCCCTACAGTTCTTTTTGTTGAACCGATAAGAGCCCTGGATTTTAGGAAAAGTACGAACATATTTTATGCCTGACTGAACGGCGTTTAAATTTACTAGGCACAATCATATTTTTTATGTTACAGTTGCAAGAAAAAGTATGTGAACCCCTTGGTATTACATGGAGTTTTGCATGAATTGGGCATAAAATGTGCTCTGAATGTCATCTAAGTCACAACAATAGAAGAACACAGTCTGCTGAACATAATACTACACAAACATTAGATGTTGCTATGGTTTAATTGCACATAACATGTAAACATTCACAGTGCAGGGAGGAAAAAGTATGTGAACCTTTGAACTTAATAACTGGTTGACCCTCCTTTGGCAGCAATAACCTCAACCAAACGTTTCCTGTAGTTGCAGATCAGTCCTGCACAACGATCTGGAGTAATTTTGGACCACTCCTCTTCACAAAACTGTTTCAGTGTAGCAATATTCTTGGGATGTCCGGTGTGAATCGCTCTCTTAAGGTCATGCCACAGCATTTCAATCGGGTTGAGGTCAGGACTCTGACTGGGCCACTCCAGAAGGCGTATTCTGTGCTGTTGCAGCCATTGTTTTGTTGAATTACTTGTATGCTTTGGGTCATTGTCCTGTTGCATCACCCATCCTCTGCGGAACTTCAGTTGGCGGACAGATGGTCGTACGTTTTCCTGCAAAATGTCTTGATAAACTCTGGAATTCATTTTCCCATCAATGACAACAATCCATCCAGGCCCTGAGGCAGCAAAGCAGCCCCAAGCCATGATGCTCCCTCCACCATGTTTTACAGTGGGGATGAGGTTTTGATGTTGGTGTCCTGTGCCTTTTTTTCTCCACACATAGTGTTGTGTGTTCTTCCCAAACAACTCAATGTTGGTTTCATCTGTCCACAGTATATTTTGCCAGTAGTGCTGTGGAACATCCAGGTGCTCTTTTGCAAAAATTCAAACGTGCTGCAATATTCTTTTTGGACAGCAATGGCTTCCTCCGTGGTGTCCTCCCGTGTACTCCATTCTTGTTTAATGTTTTCCTTATTGTAGATGTGTCAACAAAAATGTTAGCATGTGCCAGAGATTTCTGTAGGTCTTTAGCTGACACTCTGGGATTCTTCTTTACCTCATGCAGCATTCTGCGCTGTGCTCTTGCAGTCATTTTGACAGGACGACCACGCTTAGGGAGAGTAGCAACAGTGCTAAACTTTCTCCATTTGTAGACAGTCTGTCTTACCGTGGACACATGAACATCAAGGCTTTTGGAGATACTTTTGTAACCCTTTCCAGCTTCATGCAAGTCAACAATTCTTGATCGTAGGTCTTCTGAGAGCTCTTTTCTGCGAGGCATGGTTCTCATCAGACAGTGCTTCTTGAAACCAGTAAACCCAAAACAGGTGTGTGTTTTTTAAGGGCAGGCCAGCTGTCAGCAACACATCCAATATCATCACACTGATTGGAGTCAAGGTTGGCTCACTCCTGGCTCCAATTAGCTCTGGGAGAAGTCATTAAGCTAGGGCCTCACATACTTTTTCCTCCCTGCACTGTGAATGTTTACATGTTATGTGCAATTAAACCATGGCAACATCTAATGTTTGTTTAGTATTATGTTCAGCAGACTGTGTTCTTCTATTGTTGTGACTTAGATGACTTTCAGAGCACATTTTATGTCCAATTCATGCAAAACTCCACGTAATCCCAATGGGTTAACATACTTTTTCTTGCAACTGTATCTCCTAAACACTATTTTGGGTTTCTCTGGTAGAACTTTTGTAGGGCTGGATCTTGTAATAATATGGACCAATGTTTGGACATGACGTTCTCAACAGACCAAGGTTGGCTATTAAGCTTAGTAATGAAAGTAGGGAAGAAAGGGAGAAACTGTCTAGGGCAGGGCCACCCGAATACCAAGTGTCTATTGTCCCACAAATGGTATTTTCCCCCAAAACCCATGAATATATTTGCATAGCATGGCACAAAGTGGGCGCCCATAACTGTGCCCAACTTTTCAGATTAAAGTTATTTAACTAAAAGTTTTTATGTTTTAATGCAAGTCTAGTACATTGTGAAATAAAGAAAGATTGTAAACATGAAATATGATCTGAACTGAACAAAAAGTATTGTAGAGCTTCCAGGACTGCCTCGTGGTATGGATGGGTA